CAGATAAATGGAATGATTAATGGGGAATAGAAGATATAAAGGCGTAAAAGCCCATCAGGCTCAGTATTTGACAGAGGCCTCCAACTACTCTGGAGTCATGCACGGACCATCCAGTTTGGAGTGAGAGCAGTACCGCACCAAGTATCCAACCAAATGACGGCAACAGAGATCCCAACCGAGTAAGAAACGAACCACCAAAGATTGTCACGAGCCACGGCTTCAGAGAAGTGAGCTCTAGTCACATTATTGCCCAAAAACTATGAAGCATAATAACAAATTTTAAACATATATCAAACAAAACGGCAACCACCAAAAGAAATGAGTGTTGAAATAAATTATAGTGCCTTCCAACCAATGCAGCCCACAGTAACATCCCAAAGGGAGAAAAAATCCCAAGAATCAAACGAAATACCCAAATGGCCACCACCACTATGAAACCAACAAGAATAGAGAAGAACCAAATGCAACCAAAAACCAATAACACATTCACAAAATTATTTCCTACCACTTTTACCCCTCCCACTAAAGGAAACAAAAACAACATGATGGTCAATCTGCAAAGCAAAATCAGCCTCAGGTTCAGCATCCCCACTTGAAGAGTCCGACCCCTCCAACCAATCAATTTGCTCAAGACAGCTACGATTCAAATTAGACTTTAAATGGATTTTCAGTTACCAAACGAGTGTCCAAAATACTTACAAGAAGCACAAAAATGAGGGAAATCCTCCAAAATCATTAGTTGAACATAGCCGGACTTCTCAGAGCCTAACCAAACCTTATCGAGGTAGGATTTAGTAACATCCAACTATACCAAAACACTAGCTAGGGATGACTTGGAACCAATGGAAGTAGCATAATCAATTTTTAGGGGTTTGCCAAAGAGCAAATCCAAACCGTGAAGAATGCGGGGAGAGAAAAGGTGAGGGCGCAATTGAGGGAAAGATACCCAAATGGGGACGATCGGCGACTCGGCATTGATATCCACAAGGAGCGACCACTTGGTAAGCTTCATGTAACAATTATATACTAAATAAGATCTATGACAGAACACCTGACATTAATCAAGATCATTTTTCAACCTAATAAGGATATGCGTCGGATCCAGCAAGATGACCGAGAATTCCCCATTCAATTTAAGATTAAAGAAAAATCTTCGTATAGAGTCTCGAGATGGTCATTTAGAAGGGAAAAACCAACTAAAGAGAACTGGAAAGGGGTAGTTAAAGCATTGATCTCACATTCCGAGATCCAAAGAGAACGTAATCCACGAAAAGAGAAAAACCCTAAGCTCCGAAAAAGTAGCGACATAAGGCGAGCCTGTAAGAACATCTAAAAAAGAACGAGACGAAGATGCATGAACCCTCTAAAAAATCAGGGTCGCAGAGCTTCGAGGCCATACCGTCAGTCGCCGGAAAAACAAAGAAACCAAACTAACAAACGAAAAGCCAAAAGCATAACCAGACCAGAAAGAGAACTTCCCTGACGGAATGGAAGGAGGGGCCACTGAAGCAAGTAACCCCAGTTGAAGAACCGCGTCGAAGAGAGCTAGGGCAAAGCCCTAGCAGAGCGGGCGAAACGAGAGCGCATTGTTTTTTTTACTCCTTAAACAATTTTCAAATGCAATATTATCTGCTCGATTTGACTATAAATATGCAAAAAATTTATATTGTTTTGCCCTCTAATTAATGTCTCGAAATGTTCAATTATGGTTCATGTGCTTGATTTAAGATTATTTGAAGTCTGATCAAATCATTTTTTATGTCAATGAGTTTGTTTAGTTGAGATGTTTAATTTGAATATAAGTCTATTGAAGTCGGAGTTAATTAGAAGATTCTCAATTTAATTCTAAAAATTTTTAACATAAAATTATCCGTTGTATCCATTTCGATCAAATAATTTTTTTTTGGAGATATGTCAATAAGAATAAAGAATAGAATTTATATGATTTGATTTTAGTCAAATTAAATCTAATGATAGAAAGCTCATCATACTCAAATTTTAGTCTAAATATTCTAAGTCAAATTTTCTCTAACATGCAAAAACTGTGAATATACAATAAAATATTTTATTTTTAATTATTTTAAGATAAGTATAATATAAATTTTAAATAAGATTATATTTATCTGACTCATTTCAAAATAAAACTAAGAATTTGAAATTCATTTTTTATAAAATTTGATAAAAATCCTTAAAAAAATTTATCCAAAATCAGGGTAATTTTTTATATATTTAATTAATGACATAATATATATATATCATGCGTAACTTGAGCTTTTTTTTTATTTTTTTTTTTTCAACATCTCAAACCTAAATAACAAATTAATTTATACAAATTTATAAAGCAAAGAAAATAAATTTCAAATTTAACTGAATCGATCCAATTTTTGTTATATTCAATGAGTTTCTCACTGGTCCATCGTTTGATTAACGTAAAAAAAATGAAATTGAATCAATTTTATTTAATTGGTTTGATTTGATTGTTGGTTTTTTTATTGATATTTTATTTTTTATAGAACAAAATATTATCAATAAGACTATAAGAGCATGATGTATAATTTAAATTAGAAATAGTCGTAGAGTGTTAAAGAGATTTGATGTATTATCAGAAAATTATCTTGATTGATCATGAATCTCGAGGTAAAATAAGTTCGGAGACTTCAAAAATTAAATTCGAGAGCATCTGAACTCCGATTTCAGCGAGCTTACGGTCAAACTGAGCGTCTCGGAAATACGAACCCAACAACACCAAATTCGACCCAATCCGAGCCCAAATGAGTCCGAATCAAGGACCCGAAGCGCTGTTGGAAGGTTCAAACCACAAGTTGAGTTACCAAACGGTCTCCGATTTTACTGAGCTTATACTCGAATCGAGCGGCTCAACTAGGGGTGCCAATTCGGGTCAGCGGTTCGGGTTCAGGTTGAACCCGAAACTGACCCGGCACTGTTCGGGTCAACCCGAACCCGACCAATTTTTAAAAACGGGTCAGGTTTCTGGACCCGAAACCGACCCGATTCGGGTCCGGGTCAACCCGACCCGACACGAATGACCCGAAGTTGACCTAAAATTGCTAATTTTCGGGTCAAAATCGGGTCAATATTCGATTTTCGGGTCAAAATGGGTCAATCTCGTGTTCTCGGGTCAAATATGAGTTTTTGTGTTACTTTCGGGTCAATTTTGGGTTGCAGGGTCAACCCGACCCGATTTTTAAAACGGATTGAAAGTCAGTACCATCCCGTTAAGGACAGGTTTTGTTGTTCATATGTCAAGGGCTGGTAAGGTTTTGCGCGTTGTATCGAATTAAAGTCTAGCAGTATGCCTAGGGAAGCCTGTGTATAGGCTACAGTGAATCTGTGGCTTCGATGCAGAGGCTATTACAGCAAAGGCGCTAGCTCAGGATCTGGGTGGGGTTTTCGTCAGTCAGTTTTTCTTTGATTGGTATGTATTGTGCCGCCCGCATCTGGCTAGCAATAGCTAAGCTCTTCCCCGCTCCTATCCGCCGCTGTGGATGTTCTCAATAAGTCCAAGGTGCATAATTCTGCTCCTCGACACTACGTGCTGAATGCCCTTGCTGAGAGAACTTTTCAAAGATGTCAAGCGTTGAGGCGCCACGGACCTGTATCAGAACTTTGTTCAATCCGAAGCCGGATTTTTTCGGGTCGGGTTCGGGTCGTGTTTCGGGTCATGTCAAAAATTGACATCCCTAGGCTCGACGAGACGAATCCAACGAGCCCAAGATCGCCAAATTTCGACATCATTAAGGCCTTCAAATGTCCAACGAACGGTGCACGATCGTAGGATTCAATATCGGCCGTTCATTCAAACCACTCCCAATTTGCCCCTGATCTCACACATATTTATAGGCTATGTCATCCCAGAAAAACTATAAATAGAGCCCTCATTCTACACAAAAGGGGACTCAAGTGAAGAGAGAGAAGAGAAGAAGGAGGAGAAGGAAGAAGCTCCTCCTCGACCACCGCCAGAGCTCTTCCTGCCGCCTGAAGACGCCGGAACTCTGACGGATTTTCGGGAAACGCTGGGAATTTGCAAAACTTTGTAACTTTGTGAGAAGTTGATTGTAAATCGATCGTCTTGATTTGTAAGACGGATTAACTTTTGTACTTCAAACAAATACTAGTTGAACTTTGCAATTGGGCGAGGCCCCGTGGTTTTTTCCCTCTTTCGGGTTTTCCACGTAAAAATCTTGGTGTTCATTTCTCTTTTTCGTTTGTGTGCTGAATACTCGTACAACGCTCGGACGCGAATTTACAAACTCTACCGTCGCGTATATTCTAGCACACAACAAGATTTAAAATGAAGTAAACTAGCCAAACAAATTGGCTTATTCCTTTAAATGCCTCAGACTGTTTGACATATTTAGAATAAGACAAATAATTTGACGCATTCAATAGAATATATTGAATACACCAAATTGTTTTGCACATTGCTACAACATTTTTAGACTTTAATTCGGCTGGTTGAGGTGAATGCACCAAATGATTTGTCGCATTCTAAAGAACTAGTCAAATCATCTGACGCATTCTAAATGCATTGCATTCTTTAGAAAGTGTCAAATGATTTGACTAATTTGCTTCTTTTAATTTTTTTTTAATATTTTGCTTTTATCCCTAATTTAAATTAACAAAATGCTCTTTCTTTAAAAAAAAAATTATACAATTGATCAATTCAGAAATTTTCTTAACGCATATTATTTATTCAAAATCATAGAATTAATATTTTTAATGAAAATGATTTGATAGTCTTTTTAAAATTTAAATACATATTACTTAAATTAATAATTATTAGATTCACTAGTAAAATCAATCATATTTTAGTTCATAGAGAATGACATAATTAAATTTAATTAATTTTTTTAATATACAAATCAAACAACTAAAGGCGACCGTAACCCTGCCTATGGATAACTTAGTAATTTACTAAAGTCATATTTTATTCCTGCGAAAAGGATATCACAGCGATTGCTCCCAATTCTCCACTTTCCTTCGCTTGATGCTCCGCCGCCTCCTCTCCTTCTTCCAGCTCTCGGTGGAGCATCGTTGAGAGGACAGCGATAATGCAGACGTATAGAGAGCGGATGTAAGAAGTTCTAGAAAGAGAGAGACCAGAGAGAGAGAAAGTGGGAGGGGATACAGAGAGGTTGGGCCCGCGGGGTTAGCTTTTACCTGCAGAGCTAACGTGAGGGTGGGGCTATTGAGGCGGAGATAGAATTGGGGAGGGATATGGTAGATAAGAGGACGAAGAATAAAGATGAAGAGAGAAATAAGACAGCGAGTGAGTGACAAGGAGGTGGAAGAGTGAAAGGGGGGGAACAGGAAGATATTGTGAGAAAGAGATAGAAAGAGAGAGTTTTTTAGAAAGAGAAATGGTGGGCTCGGGAACAGGAGGTGATAGTAGGAGCAAAGAAGCAGTTGGGATGATGGCTCTTCACGAGGCTCTGCGCAACGTTTGCCTCAACTCCGACTGGACTTACTCCGTCTTCTGGACCATTCGCCCTCGCCCGTATTTCTTCTACCTTTCCCCCTCTCTCTCCTTACTCACACTTCCGAATTCCACTCAAAGTTCACTTCTTTCCTTTCTCTCTATTCAGTAGGTGCAGAGGAGGCAACGGCTGCAAGGTCGGAGATGATAATGGAAGCTTGTGAGTGGCTCCGGCTGCCAAAATCCATGATGGGTTTTGTTCCTCTGCTCGAATTAGCGTTGATTTCGTCTAAAAGGAGGGAGCTTGACCTCTGATTTTTGCTTCCTTCTCTGCCTTCAGGATGTTGATGTGGGAAGATGGGTTCTGCCGCACAAGGATGACCGACTGCCTCGACGAGATCGACGGCGAAGATCCAGTTCGGAAAGCATTCAGCAAGATGTCCATCCAACTGTATAATTATGGAGAAGGGTGGGTACTGTACTGTATATATGGATTATTTTTTGTGCTGTTCTTCTAACTTCCTGAAAAGAGAAGTAGACTGTTCGATACTAACCATCCTAGTTTTTATGAAACTCTTGGAATACGAGTCATTATTAGTCTTGAAAAAGAGCACATAAATGCTTCAGCTTTTAGTAAAATATTTCAAATTGGAAATGAAGGAATACATTGTTTATATAGACGTGTTTGATTTTCTTACTTCTCATAACTAGTAATAGTAAATCAATTATGATTGTCATTAAAAGGGAAGTAATTATAGCTGTTTACTTTGTCTCTTTGGTATTTAATACTAAGAAGTCAGTGAGACTCATAAAAAGGGCGTTTTGGCGAGGAAACAAAAGCTGGGTATTTTAACTTTTGTGCTTTTTTTATAAATTTTAGTGATTGATTGCTTTAAAGCAGGCTGATGGGCAAAGTCGCTTCTGATAAGTGTCACAAATGGGTCTTCAAAGAACCTTCTGAATGCGAAACCAACATCTCCAACTACTGGCAGAGCTCCTTCGATGCGGTTTGTACTCTTTTCCACACACAGAGATAGAGAGAGAGGCTTTGCATCATATCTGTACTGTTGAAATATTTTGAGAGAGAGAGAGAAAGAGAGAGGGAAATGATTCCCTTCATCTTCTTCCACTTCTTCCATCCTTTAAACAACAGTAGTACTTGTGATAAGAATATGACAGCTTTAAAACTTTAATCCTCTGAGTTTTTTAGCTTTCTCTCCTGCTTCTCCTTGCAGCTTCCTCCCGAATGGACTGATCAGTTCTCATCCGGTATCCAGGCAAGAATCAATTCTGCTCTCTCCCCTGTTTCGCATTCCTTTTCTGTTTGATTTCTCTTTCCAAAATCTGAAATATTCTTTCTTTTGTTTCTGGAGCAGACCATAGCTGTCATCCAAGCAGGCCATGGGCTTCTCCAGCTTGGCTCTTGCAAGATTGTGAGTGTTCCATTTTCGATTATTACCATCTCCTCTGTAATCTGTTGTTTCAGGTGTTCATATGATCTGATATTTGATCTCTAAAAGTCTCTTTTTTTTTGGGCTATTGAAAGTCAAACCTTTTGTATTACATTCTAAGATATTATATATTTATAACACTAATTTTAATGTAAATTTCAAGTTTTTGAAGCTAATACTTTTTATATTTTAAAAAAAAAATCATAATAACATCAAGCAATGATGGCTGGAAATATTTCAGATACCAGAAGACCTCCATTTTGTGCTGAGAATGCGACATATGTTTGAATCTCTCGGGTACCAGTCAGGCTTCTTCCTTTCGCAGCTCTTCTCCTCCACCAGAAGCACCAATCTCTCACCATCACCACCTCCACTGAAACAAGCTCCCTCCCGCCCACCTCAACCCCTCTTCAACTGGACCCACCCTCCCTTCCCAACCACCTCGCCGGTATCTCAGAACTTCCACCCTTCCTCCAGAATCCCTCCAGCTATCACCAAGGATGACACCCACCTCTTCCTTCTCCCTCATTCAGACGAAGACATGATGGACGACCACGAAGCCGATCTAAAATGGCCTAACGGCCTCTCCTTCTTCAATGCCCTCACCGGCCGCACCGACGACGCCAAGCTCCTCTTCGGCTCCGATGGGCTAGGAAGCAAGCCGCCAGTCCATCACCATCAACAACAACAGCAGCTTTTAATGCCAGGAAAGAATTTGATCTCAGAGGAAGCTAAGGCAGAGGTGAGTGGAAGCGGCTGCGGCGGCGGAGTAGCAGAGGAATATTTGAGCTTGGATCAGAGCCATTCAGGTAAGGGTAGGAAAGCGGAGGGGAATAAGTTTAAGAGGAGCTTTACGTTGCCGGTGAGGATGAGTTCGTCTTCATCTTCGGGTACTCAGGGGACGGAGTATAGGAGCTCTGAAGCTGGAATATACTCTGATATCATGGAGACTTTCTTGGAGTAACTCTGTGTTCTGAAACTTTTTTTTTTTGTTGGTGGTTTCCGGTTTGTTTTAAGGTTTAGTTGATGTTTAATAGATGATTAGTGTGAGCTTTGTTTGCTAATTAAGTGTTTGGGTTTCTAATAGGTTGTTGGTGAGGCTTCTAATCCTGATTACTGATTGTTAATGGTTGGTGTTAGAAAGTTTTGCAAGTTTAACAGAATTTTTATTTCAGCATTATAATTAGCTAATGATTGGGTCTCTTTTTTTTTTTCCTTTTTTAATGAAAGGTTTTGTTGATATTTTTTAATTAAAATGTAGGATTTATTTTGGGGCCTGATTTTTTATGAAATTAGTTATAAAATTATTATGGGATAAATAAATTATTATAATTATATATTTTTTGAAGAAAAAATATTTAAGAAGAGAGGAAAATTAAAATAAAAAAATTAAGAATTAATCATTCTATTGTTTATTAAAAATTTTAAAAAATTACAGTTAATTTTCTACCTGTATAAAAAGAAATATTAAAATTGAAAAAATAATTAATAGTTTTTAAGTGAAGCAAAAACAAAAAACTATAAGAAACAAAGAAACAGGAATCCAAAGAAAAACAGACAGGATTCCTGTCTGGCCGGGACTCAGATAAGAATTAAGTAATCATGAAAGCGATCATGCTCCTTTGGTTGCCCGTAGACCTTCCTAAAGGAGAGGCAGGGTTCATCATCGTCCACAGCCCAAAAATAAGCCTGCCCAAAAAAACCATCCAGCGACGAAGCAGCGACATTGATTGGATTTGGGCAACTGAAGTAAAAGCCACCAGCAAATCCAACGGACATAGTAAGAACCTGCCGTAAAAACCATTCTTTCGAGCAGCTAACCAATTGCCAAGGAAATAACGGGTACGAATGAAGTCCACATCAAAAGCAATGCCAACAGCCGAAATAGTCATATCAAATTCGAGATAGCAGTGATCAAAAACCAACCAGTTAATCAATATAAGCAACCAGATAAGCAATGTAACTCCAAGCCTTTCAGTAAAAGAGAAACAGTGACCAATAAAATCACCATTCAAAGAAAACCCCAACTCCAAGGAGGACAGCCAGCCATTGAGATGATCATGTTCCAGATCTAGATACCGAAAAACTAGAAGTATGACATCTTGAGATTTTCTTTTATAAGCTTTCCACATTTCCAGGTATCAAATTTAAGGTAAACCACTTTTTTAATTTTCCTTGCCAGGGTAACTGCACAGGCAATATGACCGTTGTGCAACCTAGAATTTCGTTCAGACCAAATAAAATAAATAGCCACATTGAAAATCAGCAAAACCCCATTCTTTACTTCCTTATTTAAATCCAGATTAGCAATAAAATGAAGAGCTTGTGAGATGTTGGGCCTTAAAAGAAAGCAGCTGAGTTGAGGAATAAGCCTTTTAATGAGCTGGAAAGAGTATTCACATTCAAAGAAAAGATGATTCGTATTTTCAATGAACATGTGGCAAAAAGGGCAGGATAGGTTCCCAGTAATGATATTTCTCACACGCAGGGCTTCCAAAGTCTTGAGACCATTAGAAAGGGCCATCCAAGTGTAAGTGGAATGTCTTAGAGAGTGTTTTTTGTGTCAAACCAGATTTGCCCAATCAACGTCATTCTCAGAAGAGAAAAATTCCCTATAGAAGTCCTTGAAGGAGGCATTTTCATTATTATCCCAAGTTATATGATAGCAGCCACCATCCAAAATGGGAATAGAGTTGAAGAAAGTTTTAATAGGCAGACTTAGGGAATCGGGAAGGGACCAATTATTCCCAGTCATCCAGCTACCTAAAGTAATAAAATGCCCAATGCCAGGCCTGAGATGAAAGCCTGGAAAATGATCAATGAGTGAGCCGTTGGGACACCAGTGGTCCGAAAAGGGGTCAATGGTGCTATTAGTCCGAACATGAAATTTGAAATTGCTCTTAAACATGGTGGCAGTGGATTGAATGCTTTTCCAGAACACAGTAGCTTGGCGAGATGAGGCCATCCAGGGAGAGGAGTATCTGGTTCTAAACCATCTTGAGGTTAGGGAGTCTTGATTGTAGATCCTGATAATGAAATCGCAATTGTAAGATGATCTCAAAGCATGTAAGGATGTAATACCAAGGCCCCCTTTGGAATATGGCATAGCAGAATTCTTCCAAGAAATGAGATGCAGACGTTTAGATTGGTCACCGCTGTGGAAAAGAAATTTGGAACAGGCCTTGTCAATTTTCTTCAGAATTGTTTTAGGAATAATAGTTCCTCTAATCCAGTAGGCCAAAAGATTGGTTATAGTGTATTTGATAAATTGTAATCTACCTGCAAAAGAAAGAAGTTTTGCTTTCCATCCGGAAAACAGGTTAGTAATCTTTTCAATAAGAGGGGAGAAGTTGGAGAGCTTGGTTCTCCCCATAGATATGGGAATCCCCAGGTAGGGGATAGTGGTGGAGCAATTATGTATGTGGAGGACTTGGGAGATGGAAGAAGAAAAGGTAGAATTGGGAGAGATGAGAAGAGAGCTTTTATGTAGGTTGAGATTGAGACCAGAGATGCTGGAGAAGTGGTGCAGGATGCCCATAAGGTTTTCACAATTGTTGATATCAGCTTTTCCAAAGACAAGAAGATCATCTGCGTAGGATAGATGAGTCAAGTGAAAATTACCAAGCTTGAACCCTTCAAAAGAATGAATGGAAGAGGTGTCTTCAATTTGGCAGGAAAGAGCATCCATGATGAAGCAGAAAAGAAAGGGGCTGAGAGGGCATCCTTGCCGGAGTCCAGAAGAGGAGCCAAAGTATCCATGTAACCCACCATCAATAGAAATTGAGAAATTGATATCATTAATGCAAGCTTTAATCCACTGAATAAAAAGATGAGGAATACCCTTTTGAGCCAGCCGAGCGAAGAGAAATTCCCTAGACACAGTGTCAAAAGCCTTTTTGATGTCAAGTTTAGCACAAAAAAATTTATCCTTATGCGTCTTGGAGATGAAACCAAGGACATCGGCAGCAAGGATCGCATTGTCAGTGGAAACCCTACCAGAGATAAAAGCAGCCTGGCTTTGATGAATTATCTCAGACATGTATGGCTTAAGCCTAGAAGCCAGAATCTTAGCAATGATTTTATGAAAGACATTGCACAAGGATATGGGCCTGAAGTCCTGAATAGACTCAGCATGTGTTTTCTTAGGAATGAGGGCTATTGCAGTTGCTTTAGCACGTCTGGGAAGGTAGCATTTTTTGAAGAATGACTTAACAGCAATGCAAACAGAAATACCAGTAATAGCCCAAGTCCGTTTGAAAAATTCAGCATTAAATCCATCGGGTCCAGGAGCTGAAGAGGAACAACCAGATTTTATAGCCTCATGAATTTCCTCATTAGTGACAGGTTTGGTTAAGGTAGCTTTGGCAATGTTGGATATCTGAGCTCCAGTAGGAATAGAGTCCATGTTGTTGAGGGAAGGAGGTGGAGTATTGTAGAGATTTTGAAAGTGTTGAATAATCCCATTGAAGTCAGTATTATGAGAATTACCACTAATAGATGAATTGAGAATACACCTATTGTGGGATTTTCTCACATGAATCTTGGAATATAAAAATTTAAGGTCCTCTTCCCCATTTTTAAGCCATTTGACTTTGGATCTTTGAATTATCCATTTGGCCCTTAAGGAGTTATAGTAGACAAGATCATGATTAACCTTTTTAAGAATGCCGCAAAGGTTAGTATTAAGAGGGTCCAAATCTACTAAATTTTGGTAATGTTGCTGAAGAGAAGAAAGTTCTTTAAACTTAGCCTCAAGGGAAGATGATGATTCCCAGCTTTTTTTCTTAATACCTTCTTTCAAGTCTTTAAGCTTTTGATATAAACAGAGAATGGGATTGCCATGGGAAGGAGAGGCAAAGATATCCATCAGTAGATCCCAAAAATCAGGAATGTTGCACCAATAATTCTTAAACATGAACCTCTTTTTCTTCACCTCCTTAAAAGTAGATTGCAAAAACAGAGGAGTATGATCAGAGACCAAACTGCTACCAATAACATAGTGGGAATAAGGAAAAAGAGATAACCAAGCTTCATTTATAAGAATGCGATCCAGCTTTAAATGAATGGGATTATCCGACCTTTGATTAAACCAAGTGAAAAAATTCCCCGATGAAGGAAGGTCAACAAGATTGCAGTCAAATATGAGAGAATTGAAAGGTGCCATCCTGGAAATATTAATATCTGAACCTCCCGATTTTTCTGATATAAAACGACAGCAGTTAAAATCTCCAACTACTGCCCAAGCCATGCCATTCATAGGACAATTTTCCCTTAGCTCATCCCATAGAAAACTTCTTTCATCAAAGGAGTTCGAAGCATACACCACAGTAATAAGAAAAGGTGTATCAGATCCATTAGTCACAATGCCAGTAATGGCTTGCTTAGAAGTGGAAGTAACAGAAAAAGAAATCTTGTCCGCATTCCATTTAATCCAGATGCGACCTGGATTAGCCAAATGGAAATTATTGTAGCTCAGTTCGTTCTCAAAAACAGAGTGTGTCTTACAGAACCAAGGGTCTTGCAGAGAGGCAGACATAATTCTATTTTCCAAAATACAGAACATGTCTAACGCTTTATCAGAAACCATCTTCTTGCAACAAAAAACTTTGTCAGGGTTATTGAAACCCCTGACATTCCAAACAGCAATGTTTGGAAGGATCATTGCTTACCATAAGATTTAGGGCCTTTCTTGGAGCCCTTACCCCTTGTGTTTTTGTGTGGCTGATCTAATGTCTTGGCCTTGGAGTTGACTAACTTAATGTTGTTGGGTGGGGAGGAACTAGCTGAATCATTTAAAGAGTGGTCTTTAAAACAATCCTCCAGATTGTTTGAGGTGGCTTCAGAGTCAGATAAAAGGTTGAGAAGATTGAATTTATTAGGTGATGTATTATCCGGAGGGTTGGCTGGTTGGTTTTTAAGGTTGAGGCTAGAGGATTTTAGAGGGGAAGAGGGAGGTATGGTAGTCGACTGTTCAGATTCGGTGGAGGAAGGAATGGTGGGGGAATTGAGGTTGGGAATTTGAGCATTCTCAGGGGCTATGGTAGGTAAAATGACTGATGTAGGAAGGGGTTCAGCGGAACTGTTATGGTCTACACGGGTTATATCTGGTTTAGAGGACTCAGTGGTAGGTAGTTCAGCAGAAGCTTGATTGGATGAAGGAGGAGGTGCAGTGCTTTG